GCTTTTCGATCCCCGGTAGGCCAACCATTGATAAATCCAAGAAAATAAAAGTTTCAGAAGAAAACAGAACATTTAATTCAACTACATATGCTAGTTTTGTGGCTGCTCAAGAAATAGTCAGGCACGGGAAGGGTTTTGTGGCTCCTGGTGTTTTCTTTTTTGTGGGAAATTGGTCCAAATGGTTCTTTGAGTGTTTAAGGTTGCAGACCCCTGCCCTAGTCCTTCAACAACTTATTTCAGGAACACACAACTTCCATCAGCCCAGGGATTTGTACAGCATACCAAGCAACCAACTTTAAAAACGGGTGAGGGCTTGGACCCATTTGGGGCTTACCTGCTTGGTACCTTATTTCCCCTTCCATATCCCCCATAATGCAAACAAAATTTTCAATCCCACCATTCTGGAGAATCAGCGTATGTGTGCATGTGAGAAGGGCAATATTCAGCCCCTGGGTTATTATGTTTGAGACTAGGCATAATAATCCTATTCCTTGGCTCTACTGCAACAGGTTTTGAAGTGTGGCTATATGAAGAAGCAAAGTATTTGGACTTAACTTGCCATACTAAGTCTTTGTTAAGGAAACATCAAGATGAGGGTATCTCTACCTGGCATCCGAGCCTCAGTGATAATGGCAGCTTTTGAAGCCTGGGAGAAAGCATGAAATGGCTCCTGAAGTGCAATGAATAGCACTTTTGCTTGGGTTGTGCAATTTGCAAAACATTGCAGAATAGACACTGCATTTAACCCCTCTCTTCTTTCATGCCCATGATGCACGATCCATCTTTCTGGGTGATAATAATATTGCAAGAAACCACTCTGTGTTTAAGGTGAGCAGATGTTTTTGAAGTGCCAAAAGAAAGGAGTTGGCTTCATCTTTAGAAATGGGATGATTGCTAGTTTTAGCCTTCAGGTTTGATGATTGGGTAGCACAAACTTTTATTTTCATTTTTAAAAAACAGGGCTCAAGTGATCACAGAAATCCTGCTAGCAAGCAGAATTTCCCAGGATGCAAGAAGGGGTCAATTTGATACTTGCTGAGATGCTAAGGTAGCTCCTTCTTTGAAGTTCTTTGAAGTTGCTACTGTAACTTTTCTCAACCTGGCTCCTAAATTTCCCAATTTAGCTGGGGATTGTTGGCATTCTGGTCCAAGAGACCTGGGCTGGGATATCAAATTGAGGAAGTCTGCTCTAAATTCTAGCAAAATTAACAGGAATGGTTCCATTTCAGCAAAAGACTAGAAGAGTTGAATTCCCTAAAATATATGATTAAATTTATAACGATTGTGTATAGCTGACGAGCCCTTCCACTATAGAGAATAATTGCAAAAAAAGTCCTACCTGATTCCCACTCAGCTCAATCGGATCTACATAACAGTGTATCCCAGGGGTGCGTTCTACTTACCTTTACTACCGGTTCACAGTGCAGATCACCGATGATGACATCCGGGGCGGTGGGCAGGGCCTCCAGCCAGTTTTACTACCAGTTGTTGCGACCCACCACTGGTGTATCCCATGAATTACATCCATTGCCTACTCTTAGAAATGTCCATGTAATGCTCTATCAGGAATCTATTCAGCATCAAATTTTTAAAAGTTTTGCACTGCAGTCATAGGCTTTTACCAGGATTTAGACTATTTTGTTATTTGTGTCTGTTCTTCCATTAACATGGTCCAATAGTACATTTGCCTTTCAAAAACACACACAAATGCAATCATAAATAAACCTTTCAGCACCAGACTATTTTTATGCAATTCCCAAAGTTGGCATGCTGCCCAGTGACAATTTTCTGTTGACATAAGGGAGTGATTCTCAAAACACAGAACTGCTTGCATGCATGAGAAAATTAAATAAATATAGGAAGGCCGAGTCCACTTGACAGTATCCTTCCACTGCTTTTCTCAAGTTGTCTGATTGTGGAGCCCCAGAGTAAGCCAAAGATTTGATCTTCAAAATAAAGTCACTTCAAGACACAATGATCCCTACCCAGAAATATCTCAGCCGCCCTGAAGATTTTCGGGAGTAGCAGGCTGGGATGAAGAGTGTATGATAAATCAACAAAGATCAGAAATTTAAAATCATTTTTGAGATTCCCTCCATTATTATCTTCTTCAAACATGTTGTGATGTAATACTATGGCTAAGAAACCAAAAAACAAAGGGTCAGGTCTGATCTCAATATTGCCTTCAATTCACATAAATTTTGCTTTCAGCATGAATTGGTTAGTGTGTGTTGGGCAAGTCACTCCCTGCTGCCCCCCCCCCCGCTCCCCCCATGCCCCATGTAAAGCTCAGTTTGAGGCACTATCATAATTAAACTTTCCATGGATATTAAATACATCCATGAGCATTATGTTTTCCAAATTGTCCAAGTTTGGGTTTGACATTGCACTCTCTAGTCAAGCTTTCCCCAAGTTCATACCAATGCAGCAATTCTAAAAAATACATTTCTTCTGGGTTGAGCTCTTGAGAGTTGAATAAGCATACATATTTACAAAATCATTCATTTCAAGAAGGAAAAGCCAGTTGTGGAAAGCATTTGTTGACCGCTGTTATAAGGTCAGCAATGCATATATCCAGCGATTTTGAAATAATTAAAAAAAACTGACATTTTTTTAAAAAAACTTTAATTTTGGTAAAATGGCTGAGTTACTTTTTTTTTCAGCTTAATACATTTTAGAAAGTGGAAAGTGTCCCATTAAACATAGTAAAAAGAATGATTTGAGGTCAGTCCAGCATTGGATATCCTGTTTATGTATGTAAGATAAGTGGCCCAGGGGATTCCCACCACCGGCAGAGTGCCAGCTCCATCAAGTCTTACATTTTGTCATTTGTCTTTAACTTTGATGGCCAAAGTCACTGCCAAATCTGTGATTTTTCTGTCAACTTGCCTAGCCTGTGGCTGGCAAAGAAATCCCTGGGGCATCCTAGTCTCTTTGGTTAACCACAGTATCCAAATAACATTGATTCTTCATCCAGAAAAAGAAAAGAAAAAACAGGAAAGCTAAAGGAGAGCTCATTCCCCCAAGAATCTTGTTCATTGGTCTTTTCCAAAACATTTGGCAAGAAACCTCAAGGATATTGGTTCTTGGCAAGATACTAAAAGCACAGATTTAAAAATTTGGACAGATATAAAAGCCCAGAAACTTCTTGGTGACTTGATAGAACTATTTATAAATGGTAGATCAGGCTCATTTGTTGCCCAAAAGCCTTGCAGAATTGCCAAAAAAAAAAGGGGGGGTGTTGAGCCATCTTGAGCTATATCAAGTAACTAGAAAAAATAAGGGGGGGTTACAGGAAATCTTTGTGGTGCACCCCAGCTATGGGCTTGGGCACACCCCATAAAAGTTTTTCGGAGCAATGCAGTCCATGTGTACTCAAATACATCTAATAATATTTAGCCACACAAACTCTCAAGGAAAGTCAAGGATTATAGACAAAGTAACTGTTAACCGTGGAAAAACAAATAAATGAAATCATAGCAATAAAAAGGAAAAGAGAACCAATAAAATTGTAGATTTAAACATAGACTAGAGAAAATTTTTGAAACTGGGACAAAGCAAATCTAATTATGGCTTGAAAAGCATCTGCATGCAATCGAAGAGTGGTGAGATGCATTGAAGCAGAGGTCTTCAAACTCGGCAGCTTTAAGACTTGTGGACTTCAACTCCCATACCTGGCTGGAGAATTCTGGGAGTTGAAGTCCACAAGTCTTAAAGCTGCCAGGTTTGGGGACTCCTGCATTGAAGTATCGCAGGGGTTGTTGCACTATTAGAAATTGTCAAAGAAAATGAATAGCCCACACTTATGTTCAGTCATACCAAGCGGGAAAACCACTCATTGCCCCCTGTTATCCAATTAATCAACAACCAACTATGGCAGGAGATTGTTTCCTAACAACAGTACACCATCAACAATAAGGAAATTGCCATCCTGATCAGATACCTCAAGGGTGCAGAGATTTAACTTTGCTTCTCAGTGATCCACAGGAAGTGTTATGTACTTAAGAGAAATGTTTAACTTGGTTCTGGGAACCTACCAGACCGGACATGGTCTGCTCTTGTGTATTGCTTAGTCAGCTTCTAGGAACAGTTCCCAACCATGCATTCATTCCATATGTCTAGGATGAACAGTGCCAACACATGACTTCTTATGCACAGAAAGAAATTATATTCAAGGAAGTGAGAAAGTCTTCCTTGGAAGGAGAGATGTAAGCCACCAAATTCAAACTATCAGCAAAACGGGGTGGGTGGGGGGGTTGACTCTTTTTTAAGAGATTCACAGAAATATACTCTAGTACTTTTTGGAAACAACTTCTTTTTAGCAGCTGCTTTGAATTCTCAAAGACATTCTCAGTTTCAGTGCATAAATCTTTCTCTGATGATCCTCAGGAGAGAATAAAGCACAGCAATCTGAAAGAGGTGTCCATGCTATTTATACAATACATTAAATAGGCAACCAAGCAAAATACTACAAAGTCATTCAGGCAAAGCTCATGATACAATAGATGTTAACAATTTAAAAACATACACAGGATGTTTTCCCAACTAAAGTTGCTTCATCCAATTAGATGGTGACCCCAGCTAGGGAACAGAAGATCACAGAGCCAGATAAACACAGTGAGAGGAATACAATGCAGATTCAGCAAGTTAATTCCTCTAAAGATTCTTGAGTTGCTTTTATGCTTTTTTTCTAGGCTCTGATGATTCTGCCTTCTCAATGCTAACTGGTGAGGAGCTCAAGATAAACTGGCACTTCTGACGGCTCAGGATCCTCATATTACATGAGTGTTATACTAATGTCTCTCTTTGTCCGTCTGGGACCTAGATCTGGCTCATTCTGATACTGTCCTTACATCCTTGTCTCTAGCCTGATCCAGAGATACGTACAATAACAGACCTCCGGATTTTTCGTCGGGCCCTGAAAACCTATTTATTTCAACTAGCTGGGCTGGCTTGAGTTAAATTTTAAATTGATTTTAAATTGGGTTGTTTTAATTTACGGCCAAAATATTTAATTATTTTAAACTGTTTTTAAATTTTGTATGTTCTGTTTTTTACTTTGGCTGTTCACCGCCCTGAGTCCTGTTTGGAGAAGGGCGGTATAGAAATGGAAACAAATAAATAAATAAATAAATAAATAAATAAATAAATAAATAAATAAATCCTTGCTGTTATGTGGATCTAGGGTCCCACCCTGTCTCTATCCATTCATCCATCACCTTGGTGCCTCTGCTGGGCGTTCCAGTAAGCAGCTTACATCATTTTTCCCGCCCGGTTCACCATGTCTCTCAAGACCTTCTTGCTCAGTAAACAAATTATATTACAATGGCCTGTCTATTTTTATGATGCACTAAAGTCTAAAACAATGTTCAAGTCTCAATTTTTGATCCAAAATCTCCATCTTTAATCTATTTGTAATGCCATGCAGTAATTAATACACTGTGCTGAATAGGGTTTCTGACGAACATCTTACAAATGTGTAATTACACATGCATATGACATGCATGTTGGCATGTCCACCCTGTAAACAGCATCAGGAAATTGTTATTGCGTGAAATGACTTTAGGCAGGGAGAAAGGCTGCACCTCTCCCCACCCACCATCAAACACAGTCACTGGGGAAAGAGAACTGCAGGTAAGTATGCAATATGTATGTATGAATAAATGTCTGAGCATGTATTGGTGCAACAATGCACTAATAACCCTAATAGAAATCAGTAGGTTACATAGATATATTAAGACATAGTTGTATTTTGATAATCCTGGGTCAAATTGAACTGGCTTTACAACAGAAGCCAATAATTGCGCAATAGAAGCATGGAGGAAGTAATGCTCTCCCATTATTTGGCATATCTGTCCCTATGATTTGGTATTGTATGTCATGGAGGCCAGATTAATAGCTATGATGAGCTAGTTGTTAATAGTCTTAGCCTTGTATTCTTTTTTCAGTGGTTTTAAGATTCTGATCAATGAGCCTTGCAATAGAACATTGCATTATAAGATACTTCTACATAGGGGATTAGCCGGCCAGTCACCTGTTCCCTTCCACTCAACTTGACCTCCCAGTTTTCTGTTCCTCTCTACAATGAATTCAAGGCAGGGTTCATATGACATGCTTAATCACATATCAGGTTAACAAAGCCAGTTGTGTTCACATAACATGGTATGCTCAAACAAGCACATTACTAATTGACTTAGTATGTTAAGACAAGACTTTCCCATTATGTGCTAAACAATACAGCCCCCTTTTAACCTAATCTAGGCAGAGGTTCTAATATCATAGAGAGGTTCTGTGAGAGATATTTCCCCCTTGTTGTTCCCCTGCCACAGCAAAATATATTGTATTTTCTGCATGGCACAGTATACCCCTAAGATAGCAATATCTTCCTCTTGAATGTAGACAAATTGCCATTATTTATTTTATTTTATTGGTTCAATTTATATGCCGCCCTTCTCCAGAGACTCAGGGCGGCTTACAATGCGTTAAGCAATAGCCTTCATACTTTTGTATATATCTGCTTAGTAGGGCTTTTGGGGAGCCCCCAAGTGGTGTTCTTTTTATACAAAGCTTACTGCCCCCACAATCCAGATCCTCATTTTACCTACCTCGGAAGGATGGAAGGCTGAGTCAACCTTGAGCCTGGTGAGATTTGAACTCGCAGTAATTGCAGGCAGCTGGCAGCTAAGTGCTACTTAACATCAGTTTAGTCTGCTGCACTACCAAGGTTCTAAAGTTTGCAAGATGTCAAACTAAGTTAAAATCAGAATCATTGAAGTCAACTTGGTTTCTTCAGATGTGTCAGACTATCAGCTTTGGAGAGAATGGCCAATTGCTTGCCAGAAAATTATGGGTAGTGTAATCTGGAGATCACCTGATCAGAGAAGGATGGCAGCATTTACATCTCTTTGGAAAGGAACAACCATGCAGACATGGACCTTAATTGTTACTGTCAAGCCATAGCTAAAGAGCAACCTCTCTTTTTGTGGTTATTTGAATTCTGCCTATTTTGATCACGCATAACCCTCTTATTGTGTCCCAAGACATACTCATGCTATCTGTTTCTAATCGCGCTATAAGTCTGTGGGAGGCACCGGCATTCTTTAATAAAGCCTCTTTTTACCCGAAGAACTCAAAAGGACATCCGATAAAAGCCAAATCTAACAGGTCTAGACAAAAAGCAGCAATGCTTTTTTGGCAATTGTTGATCCTTAAAATAATATTTTTTAAATTTTTACTTTTATATTTCAGACGAGGACCTTCCTGGAGAAGACGACGACATGCCTTCCTTCAGATACAGACCAAATGGTAAGAGTAAGTTAAGTCTGGCTGGGTTGTCTCCTTCCTCATTGCCCTTCTTTTTCCACTTCATTCCAGGGCTGGAAAATCTTGGGAAATTCTACTGGGTTCTCCAAAAACACCCTTCCTTCCAACCCCTGAGGACTATGCTCTGTTTTCATGCAGTCTCTGCTCTCACAATCCCTTCTCTTTGGGGTATATTTCAAAAATCCGAGTCATATGAATGAAGTCAGAAGTTGAACTCAGACCTAGATATACCAGGTTCTCCATATGTACTTTATCCCTTGCAGGCCGGACGAGGACCAACTGCAGCCAGTGTGAGAAAAACCTAACACTACAGACATCTGTGAAAGTGTTGTATGTCTTTGTTGTCTTGCTGGTAATGGCAGTGGTGGTGCTGGCAGCTTTAGGTGAGTAAGGGAGTAGTCATTTTTTCTTTATGTGTTTATTAGCGCAGGGGGGTCGCGCGCTCATGCAGTGGTGAAATCTAAAATTTGTTACTACGGTTCTCTGGGCGTGGCTTGGTGGGGGGGGTAATGTGACTGGGTGGGCATGGCCAATTTTTTTTTCTTTTAAAACCATTTTTTCTATAACCTCTTCGGTGAAGAGGTTGTAAAAATATGCTTTCAAAAGGCTCCGACAATCCCAGCTGAGTTGCCTGATCGGCAGAGACTTTTTTTCTTTTAAATGCCTCTGACGATCAGGCAACTCAGCTTGGATCGTCAGAGGCATTTAAAAGAAAAAAAGGGTTTTTTTCTTTTAAAAGCCTTTGAGGATCCCAGCTGAGCCGCGCAATCATCAGAGGCTTTTTTTTTTACTTTTAAAAGCATTTTTTCGGCGGAAGAGGTTGTAGAAAAAATACTTTTAAAAGTAAAAAAAAAAGCCTCTGATGATTATGCGGCTCAGCTGGGCCTGGGGGGGGGAGCAGGGATTTTTGTTACCGGTTCTCCGAACCACCCGCCTCCAATGCTACTGGATCGGGCGATCCGGTCCAAACCGGGAGCATTTCACCCCTGGTGGGAGGACACATTGAATTATGGGTGTGGGCACGCACGACCGCCCTGCGCTCCCCCTGCTTTTGGCACATGATGGCAAAAAGGTTAGCCATCACTGCTCTAGTATATAAGCTCATAAGACTTGATTTGTCCTGTTCTCCTGTTTATTTAGGCATTTATTATTAAAACAATTGACATATGGGCCTCATATTTAACTAATATAACTCATAGCATTTATCAGATTATTTTTGCAAAAAGCACAATCACAGTAAATGCCTTTCTATCACAGGTCCTGTTAGAAAGATTCCAGAATATACTCTGTACAAGATCTTGCATAAAGACTCTTCTCTTGCAGTAAATCAGAAGTGGAGTCAATGGAATACCAGTACACTGGAATACATTTGGCATTTAGATTTGACTAAGTTGGGGCAGACCTTTATCTCTCCTTTATTGATTTTTTTTCAGCCAGACTGTTTAAAGATATATGCAAATTTTGCCTTCTCCAATTTAAGACCCACTACTTTCTGAATGATTGGTTTCTCATAGAATGTCACAAATTGTTAGGGTTTTTTTTTTTTTTTGATCTTTTGACTATAATAAGCCATTTTCTTACCCACTCGCTACATAAAGGCATAGATTTAATAAATAGGCGGTTGAGTTAGCAGCCCGAAGAATTTTGCCTTCTTCCCCAGGCGTGTCAAGTTAAACTTACCGTAGCCAACCACATAAGATTTTGCCTCAACGTAACTGACTCACTCAACATCCAATTCCAGGCAAGTCCAAACAGCTTTATCCACCAGATAGCTAGAATATTCTTCATTGCAGCCCTAGGAATGATCCTGTAGCTCAAACATCTTTTCTTGTTCCCTGTTTTCTATAGTATCCGAAACCCTGCAAAACAAGCAGAAAAAGGTCCACATTTCTGTCTAATATTAGGGTGTTAGCTGCTGGCAGTGCTATGACTCATAAAGCACAGCCTTAAATGCTGCAGACAGGGTGTATCTGTAGGAACTCAGGCATTGTTAATCATTCTCCTTCAGCATTTTCCAGCACCCTGGAAGGAGAAGGCAAGAAGTATCCAGCAATTCTCGAGAAAAGCCTCTGGACCCGGGGAGGGCAAAAATGCCCCCCCCCCCGCCATGGTGCAGGAGGCCAAGTAGGCCACGCCCACCATGACCACGCCCACCCAGCAACCGGGCAGAGAACCCCTTGCTAAACATTTTGAATGATAGGTTGATAGGTGGATAAAAATGCCAAATCCAGTCATAGCAATACACTTAGACTTATATACCACTTCATAGTGCTTTACAGCCCTCTCTAAACCGTTTACAGAGTTAGCATATTGCCCCCAACAATCTGGATCCCCCCAACAATCTGGGACCTGAGCAGCTGGTTAATGATCTGACAAACCATAATAATAACCTTGTTTGCTGCCTGGTTCCCAACAACTGGGCTGCACACTGAGTTTTCTTTCATTTATGTTCCTAAGAGAAAATCCTTTTGGACAGGACCTATCCTCTTGTAATCTTAAAAGTATTCCTTGAGGGATTTTCATCTGTTTTATTCTCTGGATTGGGTTCATTTACAAATACAGTCTTTCTTTTCCTGGCCTCTTCCATCACACGGATTAAGTCCACCTATGTTAATTTTATTCTATGTATAAATACAAAGTCCATTTGCATAATTTCTTTCAGCATTCTTTTGACTTGGAAAGAATGAAAAGGCATCCCAATCTGGTTTGCATATTCCTCTCACAGTCTATAATGGGTCTCTGCAACAAAAGTGCTTGTTAAGCCTGGAACAAAAGTGGCTGTGTTGAAAGAGCAGTTGGCTACTGTTAGGCCTTGTGTATTTCAGGTCCTACATAATCCGCCAGGTTCTAAGCATGGCCTACATATTCCCAAAATGGATACAGCAATCATATGCCTTTCAAGGGACAATCTGGTGTTGATAACAGGCCAAGTGGAAATGGCACCCTAAAAAAGCAACTGTCCAAGGATAGTTACAGAGGCTCATCTTCCTTTTGCCCTCAGTTTGAACCAATTCCAAGTGGCAATTAGAAATCTTTCCCCCTTTTGAGCCAAGGAATGTAGAGGATGGAAAGCAAAAATCCTAAATTGCTGATTGGTGTATTAGATTCTAGGATGTAATCCACAGGGAAAGAATGAACACAATAGAAGAAAGGTCAACATCAGTGGTGGAAACTTGAGTGTTATTTTAGTTCAGAAACAGCTTGTTTTTTTTAGCCCTGACATATTTTTTGTATATAGTCACACTATATGACTGTATATAAGATACACAGAAAGCTCTGACTTTGATGCCATGTTTGTCAGGTTTTTAAAACTCAGAGGTTGTCACAGTGGTGGGTTCCTCCCGGTTCCGCCAAGCCAGTAGTGGTGACGATATGACGTCACCAAACCGGTTCTGCCCTCCCCGACACCACCACCCCCACGTTATTCTTACCTTTTATTTGGCCCCACCCCCAATCTATTGCTGCCTCCTGAGTTCCAGCTGATGGGCTATAAGGAAAAAACCTGTTTAAACTCTTGCCGCGGGGCTTCAAAGGGCCGCCCTACAGCTGATCAATGGTAAAAGGCAGTTTGGTGGTAGACCGGTGCCTCCAAAAACAAATGAGTAGACCGGTGCCTGCAAAAATAAATGGGTAGACCAGTGCCTGCAAAAATAAATGAGGAGACTGGTACAGCTCTGCGAGCAGTTAAAAGCCTGGTAGACCAGTACCTCTGCTAAATCCTAAATAATTGTCACATGACCATCAAGCCACACCCACAAAATAAGCCACGCCCACAGAACCGGTAGTAAAAAAATTTAGAACCCACCCCTGTGTTGTCACCATATACAAACCCAGAGAATAGCATTCCAGGATACCCAGCAGCATCTGCAGGAAACTTCAGTAATGCTTATAAGACAACATCCATGTGATATTGAAGAAGTGGAGTCTGAGAAAGGGATTTATTTAATTATTTGTATCTCACCTTTCTATTTTTTACAAATAACTCAAGGCTGCAAACATAACCAACACACCTTCCATCTATTATTTCCCCACAATAACAACCCTGGGTTGGGCTGAGTGTGAGTGAGTGGCCCAAAATCACCCAGCTGGCTTTCGTGGCTAAGGGCAGGACCTGAACTCACAATCTCTGGCTTTCTAGCCTGGCGCTTTAACCACTAGACCAAACTGGTTCCCAATTTAGCTGAGTGGATTTGGTGTGAAAATTGTAAACTACTCTAAGAACATGATGTGAGAAGCCAGGCCTTCCTGCAAGGATGGATCTTTTCATTTACCATACATAAAGCTAAGCATGAGCTGGTCAGTTTCAAGACTTAGTCAAGACCTGTCTACCGATCCATTTAAACAAGAAAAAAATGGCAATGGGATCTGGTGTTTCAGTCTCTCTTGAAGCCAAAAATAGTCACAGGGGCAAGTAAAGAAACCAGGGGCCAGATTGAAGGGTGTGGCCCTATAACAAGGAAAATTCAACTGCTGCCAGAAAATTAATTAGGAAATATTCTGGAAATATTTTCACCTACCGGTATATAAAAGACCTACGAGACCGTCTTTTGCCACCAATAGCCTCCCATCGACCAGTTCGTTCTCACAGGGAGGGACTACTCAGGGTACCGTAAATCAAATTATGCCGACTGGCGATTCCCAGGCGGAGGGCCTTCTCTGTGAGGGCTCCAACCCTTTGGAATGAACTGCCCCCTGAGATACGAAATATCCCTGATCTCCGTGCTTTCCGCCGTGCCCTCAAAACCCTGATGTTCCAACAGGTGGGGCTAAACATATGAACATGTGAATGTTTTTAAAATGTTATCTAATTTTAGGTTCTATTTAATTGGGCCAAACTATGTTATAATAATAATTTTAATTAACAATTTTATGATGTTTGTGTATCTATATTTTTCTTGACTGTACACCGTCTTGAGTCCTACGGGAGAAAGGCAGTATAGAAATATAATAAATAAATAAATATAAATTGAATTTTTAAACAGTCAAATTGAAGAAATCTCATTTGATTCCATAAATCCTCATCCCCTTCAAGCTTTGTTCCTCACTGGTAAAACTTATCCATAAGAAGGACACCTCAGTGGAGATGTACAGAATGTAAGGATCAGATGAGCAGCTGGCTTGGAAGAACCGCAAGGATATGGTGAATTGCAAAATAAACATGAGTCAGGAAAATCCTGCAGTGGCCAGGACAAGGGAATGTTTGGGGGAGATGTATGGGCCAGAGAATTTGACATTGTTCCACGTTGCTTAGTACTTGGCAGGAGGAAAGAAATCTGCCCTTGAAGGAAAAAAAATAAAAGTGGGCTGATCTATCTGTATTGGAGAGGGGAGTAATTATACACTGTTGCAGAATGAAAGATTAACCAGGTTCCTTGAGCTACCGATTTCCTATCAGTAGATCGATTTACTGAAATCTTATAGATATACGTATTGGTCTCATTTTAATTGAGCATATCAAAAGATAATGTCTTAAAGCAAGGACAGAGACCTTTTTGATAGCTAAGGACTTTTTTGTGGGAGGTGGGAATAGATGGCTTTAGAGTATTTTTTTAAAGCTGTACTAGGCTTATTTGGGACTGTCAATTTTCATTATATATTTTGTACATCAAGATGGCAGAAAAACACTTCAATCAGTTATATATAAGAGCCGAGGTGGCACAGTGGTTAGAGTGCTATACTGCAGCTACTTCAGCTGACTGCTAGTTCAGCAGATCAGCAAATCAAATCTCACCGGCTCAAGGTTGACTCAGCCTTCCATCCTTCCGAGGTGGGTAAAATGAGGACCCAGATTGTTGGGGGCAATATGCTATTTAGTATACTGTCGATTGTTGTAAACCGCCCAGAGTCCTCGGAGAGTGGGCAGCATAGAAATATGATTAATAATAATAAAAATATATATATTCAGAGGGGACTCTAGAGACCACAAGAAAGGGGATGACAGATAACCCACCTGTGATTTAAAGGAACATTTCCTCATTTTGGACTACTGTAACATTCATCTCAATAATGAGAAAGTTTGGAGGCAAAGTACATATATGAATTTGGGCTCTTTTAATATTTGCAGAGATTTATAAAGAAATGACACAACAGTAAACATTCCAATAGGCAGCCAAAACTCAATGCTCTAACACCTGATATGTGGGACAGATTTCCCAAGCATTTGTTCTTCATATGTGTTATACAAATCCCTTAATTTTCCTTCCCAGGAAGAGTCTCATTACTGAAGACCATTAATTTGTAACCTCTGTAGCAAAGGAGGCGCTTGAAAACTCCTAGCCAAGATTGTTAAGGTGATTTTGCACGTGTTATTTTGGATTGGCCCTTTTCTATTTAAATTTGCATCATTGTTTGGCTTGTGGTGCAATAGGAAATGAACAAACCAGAAGTGGGTTTCAGCAGGTTCTGACCAGTTCTGGAGAACTAGTAGCAGAAATTTTGAGTAGTTTGGAGAACCGGTAGTAAAAATTCTGACTGGCCCCGCCCCCATCTATTCTCTGCCTCCCAAGTCCTAGCTGATCAGGAGGAAATGGAGATTTTGCAATATCCTTCCCCTGCCATGCCCACCAAGCCACACCCACAGAAACGGTAGTAAAAAAATTTGAAACCCACCACTGGAACAAACATAATTAAAATCTCTTATATGGAGTTTTCTTTCATCATGGAATTTTTTTATGCTGCCCAACCTTCAGTTATTCACCTGATATCACAGTTGATACTGACTATGAAGTTGTAATCTTGCGTTGAAGAGAATCATATGCTAATTCATTTTTCATGCTTTTCTTTCAGTTTTCAAGAAAGTGGGATCAATAGCTGATAAATTTAACTCAACTCAGACATACTATGAAAAGACGATTGTGTCAGTCCAAGAAAATCTTCAGGAACTAGGTAAGAACAATGTTGCTACTTTGATGTTGTCATCCAAAAAAACCAGAAATGTTACATTCTAATTAGCTCCATTTATTCCCATACTGATATGGTACATGTTTCAGTTCCTACAGAGGTTTGACATTGATATCTCCTGTATGCAAGGCAAGGCAAGGCTCCTTTCATATTGCAAATTGGAAAACCTCTGGTCCTTCAGATGGTGCTGAATTAACAACTTCCAGCATCTCTCATAACTGATTTGGCTGGCAGTTGAATTTAGATTGGGGGGCATTGTGGTTATGGAGAGGATTAATTGATTGATTGATTGTTGTAAATTCTTAGAAAATTCTTAGAAAATTTATATAGATAATTTTTCTTCATCATAATCTATCCCTAATTGGTTTTTCTGATGTTCCAATAGTGCACTCATTGCAACTATGGTTGAGTTCATTCACCTTGCTGGCAGGCATCTTCTTCCATCATTAGCACCTTCTCTTGGGAACTAGGTATTTGCATAATGTGTCTTAACTAGGGTGACTTGAGCCTCAAGTCAGAACTCTGGGTTGATTTGTTTAATGAGTCATTTGTTTGTTTCCTTGGCTGTCCACTGTATTCATCATAGCATCTGAATATCTTTTCCAAGGGATTTGTGGTTGCGCTACCAAGTGCTAGTCTGCAGCTTATTTCTTGACTGTTCCTTCACTGTTGATGGTTGATCCTAAAACACAGAAGCTATCTGCCACTTCAGTATGGACAAGGGAATAAGTTGTCACTTATTTTCTCTTTCAAGGCAATGATTTTCATTGGATAGGGAGTTTCTATTGTGCCTTTCTAGGTTCAGAGGAAGCATCTTTTCATGCCAGCAGCTGGGAGTTTAAAACTTAAAACACCTTCCCATCTGCTATGACTCTCGGATCAGGTACATTCACACAGAGGCTAGTCAGAATCATCAGGTTGTTTTCAATTCTTTTATTCCTCTTATAAGAGGAATCCCCCTTATAAGAGGGATATTTTATCCCCTGATAAGAAAACAGAAGAACCCGTTAAAACAAAGAAATAGGCAAAAGGTTCAAAAGATTGCAAATAAAGCTGCTTCTTTAAACCAACCTAAAAATTAGCTGTTGTTGGGACACTCTTTTTCTTTCTTTTTTTTTATCCAATCATAAACATTCTGTAGAATTTCATGGAATTTACCTCCCTGGCTCATACCCGCCCCTTGTTATCTCCATCTACTTTTGTTCCCCTTTTTCTTCTCTTTCCAGTGTATTTACGTTTTTCTCTCATTTTCTTGCACCCTGCTTCTTCTTTTCTTTCTTGCTGTTTCTGCTGGAAGACAGGAGTGTGCATGAACAGTATTTGTATGATGATTGTTTCGTAGATGTTTTTGAGACTGGATGAGTATATGAGGATTGTGGATCAACTGAAATATCTTATTTACACACATCTGGTTTTAATTAGCAGTAATTACTCTCTGTTGCTGTTCTGGCCTTTTCATTATGAGGATTATAACTTCTCATAAAGTATATATCCATACATACACAATTATGTCACATGGACATGTAGGCATCTGGATGCCTACTCCAATTAGTTTCCAGTTGGCATAGGCATTTTATATAGGAAAGCTGGGATCAGACCACATTTGTTAAGAACTTTTACTCTTTCTTTGGAGGGTTCATCTCGAAATTTGGAGTCATATATGATAGGATGCTGGTTAGCTATGTAGAATAGTGAGGGAAGACACCCTCCCTCTCCTAGAAGAATGAAATATTTTGAGAAATATTAAAAAAGCATAATATTATAGATGGAATAAAGAATGAGAAACGGAGAAACGTGCTCTTGGAAAGCAGCCCCCAGCTTTCTTAATAGCCCCAGCAGATATTTTTTACCCATTAAGAAAGACTGGTCCATCCTATCTATAAAACAAAAGACCTTCAGCTCCGGGATGATGGGATTAAGACATGATCCTCCAGGACATAATAGGATTAACCCACTAGCAGCACAGCTCACTACATTGCACAATTTCCTAAGGACATTGCATCCAGCAAGCTTCAATCAAACTTGGGAGCTCAGACAAACTCCTAGAATTTGTACATGACCCGATGAGAGTCTGACAACAGCCAATAGAATACATGTTTTTGCACAGGAACAGGAAGTTCAGGTTCAAAGCCCAAGAGAAGGTATAAATAACCCCCCATACTCTCAACTCCATGTGGTCACCTGCCCAGAACCACCCATGTGCTTCTGCTTCATCAATAAATGGACCCTCTTTCCAATCAGCCTTCAGCCTCCATTTTATCTCAAGTGCCTTTCTCCTGGCTTGGACCTGGATATTTCTTCCAACAGTACAGTGGTGGGTTGCCCCCGGTTCACACAAGTTCTATAGAACCAGTAGTAAAACTGGCGGGAGGCTCCACCCACCGACCCCGACGTCATCAGAATGCTTCTGCGCATGTGCAGAAGAGCGCGCAAGCGAAGCAAGTGCGAGTGTGCGTGCCCGTTGCGAACCAGTAGTAAAGATAAGTAGAACCCACCCCTGCAACAGTAGCATAGGAAAAATCATCCAGTTAATAAGCTTCTGCATATCATTGACATTACTTTGAATGATTGGATTTATGTGTTATTGAATCATATAGCCTTGGGACAACTTAAAATATATGTTTTTCCATAAGGAACAATTTAGAAACATGGTGGCTAGAACTTGTTTTCCATTTATTCAATTACATTTTGGTAACTGAAGTTCAAATAAGACTTGATGTCAAAGACCTGTGATCCATTTCTCAGTTCTTAGGTATTAGCAGATTACAGTGATGGGAGGAAAACTGGGATCCAGATCAGGGACCTTGTAACAAGAAATTGAGCAGTGCCACCAGTGCCTCTAACTTTTTTGAATGCTGGATTCAGCCATCCCCAACTTATTGTTTCCAGCTGTGTTTAACAACAACTTACATCATCCTCAGGCAGCAAGGACCAAGCTTTCTGGACTGATGTGATTTGCAGATAATCACATTGGGAAACTATTCGGTATCACTTTAGCTTAAATTCTGCAACAGTGAAACTGGATTCTATAACATGTGTTTATGTTTGTGCAGGCATATTATTTTCCTAATACGTTCTTCATAATTTAGTCATGGGAAGGAACCAATTGTAATCACTTATTGCTTAAACTTTAGCATTAAAACAGAATTATCAACTAAACTGATACGCTTTTGCTCCTTCATTCAGATCAGAAATCAATGGACAACTGCTCCTTGTGTCATGACACAGGGCAACTTGGACAGGAAATTAGCAAATTGCAAAAGGAGTTGGAGGAGATTCAGAAGAAGCTCTTGGCCCAGGATGTATTACTTGATCGAGCTGGACAAGCCCACCAGCAGCTTTCATCTTCCAGCAGCAAGATCACTGATGATGTGGATAGATGTTTCTTTGCTGTTCAGCAGGTCAACCAGAGTTTGAGCCTCTTTCTGGCCCAAGTGATGGGCTGGCAGGCTGCTACTTCTCAGCTAGGCAGCTCACTCAAGGAGCTAACACAAGAACACTTTGATGTTGAAACTGCTTTGCTGCAAATAAACTTTACCAATAGGCAGACCTCAGACTGGGTCCAGATCATCCAAAGAAAGACAAATGAGGAGACCCTGACACTACAGAAGATTGTGACTGAGTGGCAGAACTACACCCGGCTGTTTGGCAGCGTGAAGGCCACCTCTTCCAAAACAGCTGATCTGGTCAAGAATATTCAAACTAATTTAGCTATTGCCTCGCAAAGGATCAGCCAGAATTCAGAGAGTATGCATGACCTCATACTCCAAGTAACAAGTTTACAGTTGCAGCTGGACAACATCTCCTCTTTCTTGGATGACCATGAGGAGAACATGCATGACTTTCAATACCATACCCAATACATGCAAAATCGGACAGCTGAGCATTTTCAGACCTTAGAAGGCCGTATGACATCCCATGAGATTGAGATCAGCACAATCTTTACCAACATCAATGCCACTGATAGCCATGTCCACAGCATGCTCAAGTACCTGGATGATGTGCGACTCTCTTGCACACTGGGCTTCCACACACATGCTGAAGAGCTTTACTACCTGAACAGATCGGTCAGCCTCATGATAAGCCTCACAGATGCTCTGCGGGAGCGTTTTAGCCTGCTCAATGCCCAGTTAAACTTCAACATTCGCAACCTTTCCATGGTCATGGAAGAGATGAAAGCTGTTGACATCCGACATGGGGAGATCCTGAAGAACATCACCATCATACAAGGTAAACAAATAGCAGGATTGGGTTTCCAGGTGAATATCTCCCAAATAAAATCATCCTAATAAACTATTCAATGGAGCTGTGAAAATGTAAGAGAGTCTATTAATAATTTCTTAGAAATACATTTTTCTGAATAAAAAACTTCATAAACTAAAAGATAGGGTATCTTTGAATTTACCCAGGGATCAGAGGTGGTATTCAGGTTCTGACCACTTCTGGAGAACCGGTAGTGGAAATTTTGAGTAGTTCGGAGAACCGGTAGTAAAAATTCTGACTGGCCCTACCCTCATCTATTCTCTGCCTCCCAAGTCCCGGCTGATCGGGAGGAAATGGGGATTTTGCAGTAACCTTCCCCTGGATTGGGGACGGAATGAATATTTTACAGTATCCTTCCCCTAGAGTGGGGTGGGAATGGAGATTTTGCAGTATCCTTCCCCTGCCATGCCCACCAAGCCGCACCCACCAAGCCATGCCACACCCACAGAACTGGTAGTAAAAAAATTTGAAACCCACCACTGCCGGGGATGCTTATAAATAGAAAGTTTACAGAAAGCTTTCAATTCGAAAAGCAAGCAAACAAACAGTACACAAAACGATAAAAAAAAAAAAATCTGTCAGTTTCCTAATTATGTAAAACAGTTTCCATGTAATGATTTACAATTTTGATGTGAATTAGTGAAGAAAGCAGGAGGCAAAGGTTAAAGAGGAACTTATTCAAAATTATTTTTTTCTCCCTCACAAATTTGGACAGTTTTTTCCAAAAAAGCACATGTCCACACACATTATCTGCCCATGGTCTAGTGAACAAGTTCTTATATATGCTTTGGTTTGTATATAATGCCACATCACAATAAGTGGATCCTACAGCTTTATAAATGAGAAACAGTAAATCATCTTATGGCATAATGTGATGTCTGCACCCAATTAACACATTAGATCTCTATCAGACCTGGCTGCATTCATTTGCAAGCAAGGTTTGGATTCACACATTGGGTTAAGCCTTAAATTAATTTGTTTGGTCTTTTAATTTAGAGCAATATATAAATACAGTCTTTTTGATCTGTAAGCCATAGTTTATGGCAGGGGTGTCAAACTCAAGGACCGGGGTCCGGATCTAGCCTGCAGGGTGCTTAGATCCGGCCCACGGGGCCGCCCTGGAAACAGGGAAGGACCGGCCCGCGGTGCCTTTGACAGTGAAAATTGAGCTCATAAAGGCCACAGGCAGCCCTCCAGAGCTCCGTTTTCACTGGCAAAGGGTTGCAGGAGGTTGTCACAGCCAAAAACAGCGCTCAGGAGCCTGTTTTCTCTGGCAGAGCGTTCAGACCACCACAGGCACCCCCGACATGAGTGACATCAGGCTGGCCACGTCCATCCTGGACATGTCTACCCCACCCCAACCTTGATGCAGCCCTCAATGAAATCGAGTTTGACACCCCTGGTTTATGGTTTAGCATTATGTGTTAGTTGAGCATCTTGTCCAATTCAATAGAGTTAAAACAAACCATAGTTTATTACAATTCATGAGTCCATCTTTTGTTATTGATCACAATGGAGCAAATTCTATGCACTTTTACTTGGAAATAAGCCCTAGAAAACTCAATAAAACATTTTAAACGCATATGCATAGAACTGGATACTCCCACCCTGTCAATACAATTGAGAAAGAAAAACCTTGCCGGGAACAAGAGATGTTATTCATGTTATTTGCCACAAAACTAGTATTAAATTTTGAATAGTCACCACTTCCTTTTAGGAGTGAATGTGAGGGAGAGAGAGAAAGAGAAAATCACCATTCCATTATCTCCCAGCCTAGTGGTTTTCTTCCCTCTGAAGGCTGACCTGATAAGCCCAGGTAGTCGGGTGTGCCTGGATAATGACAAATAACCTTGATTCTCTCAATGCTGTTCCATCCAGAGGCTCATTGGTCACCTTTACAGAACAGAGAAATCCACTGTTTACTTTTATTTGCTGTACTTTTTTAACTAGTTAATTAGGTTATATCCTAGAATATTTAAAGAAAAGCTCTTGAATACTTTGTAAGTTTCTTTAAATCTATGTGAAATTTCTGGTTTTGTCAGTTTCTGGCCACTTTTTTAAAAAGGCACCATGAACTATCTCATCAAAGCAGGAGGCCAAGAGGCATTTATTTTCAGTTCGATTCCCCATCTTAGAATTAAACAATAAATTAGCATAGATTTATTATCACAGCAGTAAGACCGCACTGCTGCTTCTGCCATTTTAATGTAATACCTAATTACGTCAGAAGGTTAATGCATTTTCATGCAGCTGATTGTCCCCTTAGCTCTATTATCAGCCTTGATCTGAAGAGAGCCCCTCTGTGGCTAGAAATTTTCTTCCCAGTTTCAGGTATATGCCAGCTTAGATAGGGCATTGGGGTTCCTCTTACTGTCATCAAACTGTAATTTCTGTAAGATATCAAGCCTCTAACTTTGTAGGGATTAAAATAAATCTGCAGGCAGTAGAAAGTTGCAAAAAAATTTATATTTTAGGGTAAAGATAATTGAGGGAGGAATATTTTGGCAGAAAACCTAAGGGGGAAAATTGCAACGTTACAGTCAACAAAAATATTTGTAGCTTCACTGTAAATGAAGCAGAGAATGCATAGACAAACGAGGTATTGGCCAGACAAACCATATCACAGCAATCTATTCAAATAAATGTCATAAATTTGGAGGACAACTGTAAATTCAATATGTAACTTGCTGCTAGGATCCAGAAAATGTCTGCATAGAATTGACACCCATTCATTGCCTGGACGAGAGGTTTAAGTTTTAGGTTTTATTAAATTTCTATACTGCCCTTCTCCCGAAGGACTCAGGGCGGTGTACAGCCATATTAAAACACATGAATTTATAAAATTTAAAACCAATTAAAATCAGATATATAAAATTTGGCCCTCAATTTAAAACACACATACACCCATTTAAAATTCATATTAGGCCAGTCCGGCTTGCTGAAACAGAAGGGTCTTAAGGGCACGGTGAAAAGTGAGCAGGTCAGGGCTAAGACGAAGCTCTAGGGGCAGCTCATTCCAAAGGGCTGGTGCCCCCACAGAGACTGGGTGTCGCCAGTCGGCATTGTTTGGCCAACGGCACCCTGAGGAGCCCCTCTCTGTGGGAGCGTATTGGCTAGTGGGAGGTTGTTGCTGGCAGAAGGCAGTCTCGTATATACCCCGGTCCTAAGCCATGGAGCGCTTTAAAGGTGGTGACCAACACCTTGAATCGCACTCGGAAGATCAACAGGAGCCAGTGCAGCTCGCGCAGGAGGGGTGTTACATGGGTACGCCGAGTCGCATCCATAACCACCCGCGCGGCCGCATTCTGGATCAACTGGAGCCTCTGAGTGCTCTTCAAGGGGAGCCCCATGTAGAGAGCGTTGCAGTAGTCCAGACAGGACGAGAGCAGCTAATTAAGGTGTCTTTTAGATGAGCTGGCAACTTCAGTTATAAAATCTATGGCCCCCTTTTTGGAAACAGCTGTCAATCTACCTCCTGCCTGTCAAATGCATCACCTGGGTGGAAGAAAACAAGAATTTGAATTTTGGAAAGGTGCTTCACACATGAGTAACTGAAGCTAGGCAGCAGGAACTATGTATCTGCAGCAAGCAAGGAAACTTTGTTATTAGCTGAGCATCCATTGAGATTTACAATACCAAAATTGAGTATCAAATTATCATATAATAATGGGAGTGAGTGTCCTTCCCTCTCTCTTTCTCTATTAAAAGAAAAATATCTGCTTTTAACTTAAAACATCAATTTTAGAAAGGAAAACAATTTTAGTACCCTAATAATTTTTTTTAAAAAATCTTGATTTTTTTTAAAAAACTTGTATTCTCCAGCGGATAATGCATGATTGTTACAACCCCATGACTTTCAGAGAGGAAAAACTTGCTTAAAATTACCCTAACCTTCTGCCCTCCATTCCCCAAAAGCTATACGAACTAACTAAACATTTCCAGAATGCAGGTGCTTTGCCTCTCTGCAGGATATTTTGATACTTCCGAATATAACTCAAGTTATTTGCAAGGAGTACAGCTGTTGTTTATACTACTAATGTTGCTTTTACTAGTTTGCCCCAGAATTTCAAACCAAAACTTTGTTCAATCCTGTTGCATTTTAGGGGCATTTTTCTGCAGTTATGGTGGGGAACTTCAGTTAGAAACACTTTCTGAATCTTAAAATGCACTTGAAATCAACTACATGAATATCAAAAACCTCACTTTTCAGAATATTGTAATATTTATATTATGGACATATATACAAACAAGTATTATAACTTACAAAATTACATATACAAGAAAAGCTACAAAAGTAACGAAACTGTTGTTTTAGAGGGAAATGAACACAAAATATGTGCTCTAAGAAGAAAGTGCACATGAAATATTGTTATAATTACTATTACATTTGCAAATTGGGGAAAAAACATGCCAAAACAAACTTCACAAAAATGAGAAAGAAAGCAAATCCAAAATGTCTTAGTGCACTTGATATGCCTTGGGCCTAAATCAGGCTATTTTGTGTCTCAGGCGGGATGAAGTAATGGTGCCTCCACAAAAACAGAGCAGTCCAAAATATGTCCTGAAGTTACAGAGGATTATAGGATGGCAGAAGGGTTTATGTGAGCCCATCCAATGCACCACCATTCCTTAAGCAAGCTCTTAAGCTGTTGTCCCAATGGTACTTTTGCAAAAGGCAACTGGATTTTCTTTTTCCCTGAAGACTTTCACTTCTCATCCAAGACGCTTCTTCCGTTCTTAAGCTGCTCTTCTAATCAATTCATGTCCATTTCATCATGCCAGGAATTATGCCAGGCACTACAGGGTTGTACTCCAAAGTAATTGTCCTGAAAACTCCAAAAGGTTTGGGGGAAGTTGAGGAAGTTTTATGGGATGAAAGGGTCACCCTTCAACCAGGTTGTTTTATTCTTAAAATTCCTGAAAAATCCAACACCACAAAAATGGGATAAATATTTACCTTGCCCACTGTTGTGGGATTTGGATCCATAAAGGGGTACTGGCAGGCCATATGGGGCCAACAGTCTCTGCTTGTGGCACCATGGGCTGCAGCATCCTTACTTCAGGATCCTTGGGGTCATCAAGGGAAATTGTTCTTGGTGTCATCTACAGATTGCCATTGAATCAGAAGAAACCATTTCTCAGCTATTATGCTTATTTCCTGGGCTTTATCCACCATTATTTTATTGAAATGATTGTATGATGTGTAATAGTTTTATTTTGCATACTATTTAGGGATGATTTTAATAATGATGTAAACCTCTTTTTTTTTTAAATGGTATTGCTGCCCATTCTCTTAGTCTTTCCCTGTCTCTTTCTTCAGGTGTTCCTGGCCCTCCTGGCCCCAGAGGATTCAGAGGAGAGCTTGGCATTAAAGGGCCACCTGGAACCAGAGGAGTAAAGGGTGACATGGGGAACCTGGGCCCTCCTGGGCCACAAGGGTCCTTGGGCCCTCCTGGACCTTCTGGACCTCAAGGCGAGAGAGGCGCTGTGGGCGCAAAAGGCCCCACTGGATTCAAAGGAAGCAAGGGTAGCTTTGGACAAGGGGGTTCCAAGGGGCGGGCGGGCCCCAAAGGGGACCCTGGATCTCCAGGTCCTGAGGGGGCCATTGGTCCACCTGGCCCACCTGGTGCACCTGGGAAACCGGGCAACCCAGGCAAACCCGGGGTCCCTGGTCCTTTAGGAATGATGGGCCGAAAGGGGGATCCTGGGTTACGAGGTCCACGTGGATTTCCAGGGCCCCCAGGACCTCCAGGAATGTAAATTCTCCCTCCCCCCCCCAAAGTTTTAATGTGGACAATTGAAACAAAAAAAGCTCTTCGCTGAAGACACCTATCTCCCCAGGAAGGCATCAAGCTAATGGGGAATGGATGGTGTCATTTATTCTGCACTGTCAAATTCCATTTCCAGCAGCTTTAGGGGTAAGCTTGAAAAATTGCTTCAAGTCACTGAATTTCCTTAATTTTGGGAACTTCAAACGCAAAGAATTGCCGCTGCTAAGTAAGTAGGAGGAGCAATCACTGGTAATTAGAATACATGGTTTGCATGTAAATGATCCTAAATTCAGTCTCTAACACCCCCATAGAGGGCTGAACCTCTGGAGAGACATTAACACTTAACATAGCCCAGAGTCACTTGGTTCAGTGGGTGGCTATAGAAATTGAATAAATAAATAAATAAAAATTAGCCATGCTAAAGGAAGAAATGGGCTGACTCAAGCAATAGCAACTCCCTATCTTCATGTTGCACAGTTGCCATGCTTTTTGTATATATGGGTGTGTGCATGTGCATGTGTGTTCATATGAGATACTGGCTCATATGCTTGTGCATTCATTCCACAGTGCAACTAGATTGTGTCACTTCATCTGTACCTCTCTTACATATGTATGGTATAACCGCTACACATATACATCCAAAACAATAAAAAAAAATTAATGTCAAGCTGAGATGAAATTGCGTGTCTTCTTTGTATGTGGTGGAGCAGAGACTTGTGAAGCTTGCCAATTCCAATGTCTGTATTTCTTGGGGTAGTATATTCTTCCTGACAAATCAGTTGGACAACCTGTTATTTTTCTTATGAAAGAAATAGAGTACACCAGAGATCATCTGTCACTGAGCATTGGGCAAGCATACAAGTTTAAACAATTAGTAGTAGAAGTAGTAGTCGTAGCAGTAGTAATCTACAGTTCGATTCACAGTCAAAGAGTGGTAGGAAGTTTAATAACTGAAATCCTAACCAAGGAATGAAGAATTATTAGGTAACAACCTTCTCATAATCTTAATCTTCTCATCGTTCCTATCTCCTCCCACTTATGACTGTAACCTTGTTGCTGGTATTCTTACAATTTATATTGACTGTTACCTAATATGATTTGATTGCTTATTTGTTCCCTATGACTATCATTAACTGTTGTACCTTATGATTCTTGACGAATGTATCTTTTCTTTTATGTACACCGAGAGTGTACGCACCAAAACAAATTCCTTGTGTGTCCAATCACACTTGGCCAATAAAGAATTCTATTCTATTCTATTCAACTGAAGATATAGGCGTAGGCCATAGGGTATTTTGTTGTTGTTATAGTTGGTTGCATAGTCAGTCAGATGTTTAGACCGGACTTGGCACTTTTATCCACCTATCTTCACAAGATTATCCGATTCAATCTAGATCAGTCTTTCTCAATCTTGACAACTTTAAGATGTGTGGATTTCAAGGCTGGCTGGGGAATTCTGGAACCTGAAATCCATACATCTTAAAGATGTGAAGGCTGAGAAGCAGTGCTCTAGATAATTTCACCATTTTGTGGGACTATATGGTTTTTACAGAATATGGCAGCAAAAGTGCTAACAGGAACCTACTTTTTTATCATCTCTTCCTGAGTTTATAGCATCTTCAAAAGTTCCCATTTTGTTTCTAAGGTCCCTTCAGTATGCTGGCTTTCATCTTTAAAATTCCAGTGGTTTTAGATTGAGCTAGCTAAAGAACCACTGCTTTCCATACCAACTGACTCCCCCCCTTAGGATGCTTAACTGAGTTTTGCTCTGCATCTGCATAAACAAAAGCAATCCTATCTTGGCAAGTCGTTGGCTTAGATTTCTGCATTTTTTCTATTTTTCAACTGCTGTTATTTCTATCCTACTTTAAGCTTGTTCTATTTTCCTGTTTCACATACCATTGTGCACAATGGTGGGATTCAATTTTTTTTACTACCGGTTCTGTGGGCGTCGCTTGGTGGGCATGGCATGACTTGGTGGGCATGGCAGGGGAAGGATACTGTAAAATCTCCATTCCCACCCCACTCCAGGGGAAGATTACTGCAAAATCCCCATTTCCTCCCGATCAGCTGGAACTTGGGAGGCAGAAAATAGATGGAGATGGGGCCAGTCAGAATTTTTATTACTGATTCTCCGAACTACTCAAAATTTCCGCTACCAGTTCTTCAGAACTGGTCAGAACCTGCTGAATATCACCTCTGATTGTGTACCTATGTAACGCTTATAGTCACTGCCTATCTGGACCAAAGAGATCCTGTGGAATCAGGCTACTGTAATGATCTATCTACTCCAGTTTGCTCTGTCACACTGTCAGGGTTTTGATCGATCCCATTCTGGCTATGAGATAATCACCCTGATTAATTAGAGGATGGACCGTGGCTTTCTCCAAGTTGCAATATTCTGAAATAAAACCCGAAGATATATCTTCTAAGAAAACTCATTTATTTGTTATAAAGAAAATAAAACATCTCACTAACTAAGAAAAGTAATTGTTACATTTTGAATATAGTTCGTGCCAGCTGCTTTTCTCAGCAGCTGGACCTCTGTCAAGAGAACAAAGGAAAGAGTAGTAAAGGAATGTGGGTGGATGGACATGCGTGGTAGCTTTTGATAACAATTCTTGGGAAGCTACGGAAAGTCTGATAGTCCAGAAATAATGAGCTCAGCTGGTAAATAAAAGAACGCAGTGACACACACAGTGACCAACGAGTTCAAACACTTTACTGGCATGTACAGGAGAGCAATATGCCTTGTCCACTATTACTTCCCAGCAAGTGAAAGCTTTCTCTGCAAGTGAAAACACTGGGTCAAAATACTGATGGGAAGAAAGGAAGGAGCTCTTTGTAGTTACTTTCCCTCACTTCAGGCTCTCTGTAATTTACAAGTGTCAAACTCACTGTGTCATGTTGCTGTCATGTGATGTTTCGTGACATTTTTCTGATCCGCGGAGTTGGGGTGGGCGTGGCCTGTGCGTGATGCATCCGGACCACAAGTCGCCAGTTTGACATCCCTGAGGTGTGGTTGCTTTCCCTCACTTTCAATTATTTAAAATCTTAGCCATTGAAATTTTCTAATCCGTATCTAATCTATTGTTTTGAGGCAGAAAAGCAAACTCTTCAGCCGAGATAAAATAAAAAAGAACCAGGAGGAAAATTTGTCTGGAAATGCTTTCGCAATGCCACATATTTAAACAATCATATAATCAAGCCAGAGAAATGACAAGTTGGGTGAGTGCCTAGGAATGACCTGATGAAAATTGACTCTGATTTCCCGAAATTCCAGCAATGAGCTTAATGGGAGTGGAGGGAGAGCAGTAATACTGTCATTCCCAATAATGTGAATGATTTCACAATGATGGCATATGGTTTATTTATTTAGCATTTTCTCAATCCTTAAGGGACATGTTAGGTTTTATGGGCAAAAGCTTGTAATGAGGTTCTGATTGGTCTTTCGGAAAACAATCTGCTTCTTTGAACAAACAGAGAAGGATGTGTGGATAGTAGAGGAATGCTTGGCCCATTCTCCACTGCCTCCACTCAAAAGCACATCTCCCGGTAAGTTTTACCTTCTCCCTTTAATTTACAAAAAAAATTGATAACCTGTTGAGAACCAGATATAGATTGGTTCTTATTCTACCTCCAAAGTTAATTAGGACAGCTTTTTTAAAGCAAATCCTTATTATCCAGGGTTTTGGTCTGAAGGAGTGGGATCAGAGAAGAATGAGATAGAACCTAATTCTATTAGGTGGCTCAGTGGTTAGAGTGCAGTACTGCAGGCTACTTCTGCTGACTGCCAGCTGACTGCAATTTGGCAGTTCCAATCTCACCAGGCTCAAGGTTGATTCAGCCTTCCATCTTTCCGAGGTGAGTAAAATGAGGACCCAGATTGTTGGGGGCAATATGCTAACTCTCTAAACCGCTTAGAGAGGGCTATAAAGCACTATGAAGCAGTATATAAGTCTAAATGCTATTGCTATACTATGCTATTAGATCAGTCCTGCAATTGTGACATATCCTCAAATGTTATTGGAGTTTAGGGTGTTTCTAAATGTAGCTGAACAGAACAAAACAAAAAAACCTATTTTCCTTTTGCGGTTAAGTCACACGTATGCTGCTGATTCTCATTTGCTGAGCCTTCCTTAAATCCATCAGACATTTGCTGATCAACTAGCTCAGTTTGCTTGTTAGCACAAACTATTTAAATCACAAGGGGGGAAAAGTTATCCTTGTCTAAGCATTAAATAAAGTATTCTGTTTTTACTCTCCAAAATGCTGTTTGAAATTAGCTCCTTTTTTGTCAAGACTGTATTCATTTCATGCATTGCAAATAGCAAACCTCAAGAATGCAAAGCAAAGTGCAAATGAGGTAAATGTATTGGTCTTTAAAGGAAAAGGAAAGCCATAAGTGAAACAACAACCATAAAAACCCCTCGCCGCATCATGTTGCTGTCATGTGACGTTTCGTGACTTTTTCTCATTCGCAGAGCTGGGGTGGGCGTGGCCTGTGTGTGGCGCATCCGGCCCACAAGCCGTCAGTTTGACACCCCTGCGGTGTGGTTGCTTTCCCTCACTTTCAATTATTTAAAACCTTAGCCATTGAAATTGGCTAATCTATATTTCCTAAATCTAGGAGTTTCTTTATGTGCTGTATATGTGTGTATGTGTGGGGAGGCAAGATAGCACTTGTAACTGGTTGAATTTCTGCCTTTTTTGGTTGCCTCACAGGCCACTTTTGATCACACTGTGGTGGCGTTCATCTCAACTTTTTTTACCACCATCACTTCATCTCCTGAAGATGTTCAGTCTGACACTGCTGGACTTGATGAGATTTTTCAAGTTTTAAAACTGTTTTTTTTATTAAAAAAATCTGAATTTCTGAGCCGACCCTTCTCAACCTATTGCCCTTCCAAATTAAGGAGTACATGTATTAGACCACATTCTCTCTGACTCATGGTTCCATGATTGGAAGTATGCTGATTGTAAATGATGGGAGTTGTAGCATGTACTATGTTATCCTAGCCTAGGATAAGTAAACAAAATGATGACCAGTATATCCTGTACTGGAACAGGGCCAGACAACATATAGCCTGCCTGTCACATTCGTCATCTATCTTTAATCTTCAATCTTCTCAAAAATTATAAGAACAAGTTTTGTTTTTCAAATCTTCCTTCCAAGCCTCCTAAAATAAAATTAAAAATTAAAGATTTATATCCACTTCCTCCAGTGTTGATCACTGTTAATTACAATATAATCTTACAGTTACACACCCTGGCTTTCGAGTGAAAACAAAGTTATCAGGGAAGAATTCCCTTCCCTTCCTGGAGTTCGCCTTATCTATTTTCTCTCCAAAAATAATTTAAGGGAAAAAAGGGCTAATTAAACACACATGCAGGCACACACTCCCTTATCACATCAGATATCTGGAAAAAAATATCTGAATTTTAAAAATGCTGAGATTGAATCACTGAGGTAAAATCATAATGTTGGAAAAAGTCATTTAGGTCATCAGGTCTGATCCCTGTTCAGTAGAAGGCTCCATATTAAAGCTGTTTAAGAACTACTTGGACACATCTGATGAAGGAGAGCCAATCATCTCCTGGCTGATTTTGTTACTGAGCAATTCTTACAGTGATGAATGTATTTATTCTAATATTCATTCAGAATCT